CCATATTGAGCCAAAACAAGAAACTTTAGCACTCTTTGTCCTCACGAAAATGTATAAAAGGGTCGACAAAACCACTCTCAACCTCATCGCACCGAATACGAGCGACAGTCTCCAAGCATCTTCGTCATGAAACTCAACTTTGCTCTCTTCACACCCGCCGTTCTCTCCGCTCTGACTTGCGGTAGCCTCGCCCGCTAATCTTCTTCCGAGGATAACATGCCCAGCCGACAGAGTCGGCCTTTGGTGTGGCCTTCGCACCCCGTCAACCAACTCTCTCGCTCAGGCTGTACTTACAGCTGCTGGTGTTACTACACAGCTCCCGAACCTCCAGGTTGGAATGATCTGCGCTCCCTCGGGTCCGGGAGCTACTTGGTGAGTGATTGGGCTCACCTCCCATCAGTGACAAGATGTTTACCCGGATGATACTTGCTAGATAGCCAGTCTCCCCCGTTGAAGGGAGCGTGCTGCCAGACCGTGACCACGGGTGACGCTTCTTACTTGACTGTATCCGGGCTTGTGATTTTCTGACGACCTTCGTAATCTCAGTCCCAGGCCTACTCAGTTTCCTCGCCCCCGCCGGCGTCAATTGTGACTCTGCTTGAACGGCTCTTGGGCACAGAGAGGAGCCCGTTTCGTCTGAATCGTGCCATAACGATGATTTTGCTCTTGGATTTGTATAAGGATCGAAACCGGAAACGTTCTCGCGATCAGAAAATAAGTGAATACCAAAAATTAGCCTGTGTACGATTAGCTCTGGATTGAATATGTGTATGTCTTTGAGTCGGTGTTCATGATTCTGTGCAAACATGAGCTCTTCGCTGTGTAAGATTACCCGAGGCTCGGTCAGAGCGAGGACTCCCCTCTTCACTCGCCCTCGAGTTATACTCAAAGTACATACAAGTAGACATCTGATGGAATAAAGTAGTATCCCTTACCGGCGTTCATTGCGCTTCAAGGCATAGTGGCCTCATGCACAAATTGCATAATACTGAGTCGCCGGAGGGGAGTCGAGGCGGTGGGTACGGGTAAAGCATGTTTCGGCCTTTCCAAGTCTTCCGTGAATGCAGGCCACTCACGTTCATAAACACCACGGCAAATTGATTCACAGGGGACAGTGAATCACAATCTATCTTTGTATATAAGTAGGTCTTGCAGATAATAGGTGTCATCACTCAAGCGTCGAGCATCGGAAAGTGAGGAAGAGATTACTGGGACAAAAAATAAGGTCAGGCTTTATTCCGATGCGGGGAATCGAACCCCGGGCTGCTGTGGATTCAATTGGATGCAAATGAAAGACAGCAATGTTAGCCACTACACCACATCGGACTCTCCGAAATGCAATGCGTTTGAATGCTACTATCAGCGCTTGAAGAAGCCAGTCAGATCGACCCGGGACTTCCGTTTTCTTCAGCTGAGGGCATGATGGACGCAATTTTGAAGGGGAGCTAAGTAGATATTGCTTCCTACATTTCCCCAAAACCTAGCGTCCACTCTGTTGCTTTCCCGACATACTCCGTTAGCCTCATTTCGTGCGACTTCGGACTAACCCACTAGTAACTTGGTGTTTTCTACGACTGCAAGTCGGACATGAGGTTGCTCGTTTCCGAACGGAAGCCTCACAGCTCAAGATCGCTCCTTCTCTGTCGTCTATTTCAACGTACTTTCCGCGATGCGACGTTGTTTTTACGAGGTTGTGACTTTTTCTTCGTTTTTGAGACCTACCGGCATATGCCGAAGGTCAATCGTTCGGTCATCTGGCCCGAAAGACTTCTTAACCTCAACTATCATCACACAGCGCACATCAGCAAGTTTTCTTTCTCGCTGTGGTGTTATCCATTCCTGACCAGAACCGGTTGATGATGGAAGATTGCAGTCCCCTCAGACTGAAACATAACTGAGGTACCAACAACTTTGCAGTATAAGCCAGGCTTGGAACCCGATGAGAACCCGATGAGAAGAAACAGTAAGCTCCTAGAACGTGCTAGCAAGTCGCACATTCATTCTCTAGTCAGGAACTAAATTTACCCGTCGTGAAGCACTTGAATTCATGATGTTTGTCAATCAATTGTGAGTATTCTTCGGAACAATACATGCTGCTGCCACGGTGCAACGCCATAGGGGGGGCGATAGGGAGGGATTGATGCATATACATACTTTTCCCTCCTTGGCAACAGGTCGATACAGGATTGCAATACGTTCTTCGGTTCTTTCCACAGTTTTTTCACCTCGTGAGCTATCGCTGCGCCCGCTCCTGCCGTCTTTGTAGACACTATAAACTCCAAAACAAGGTCTACGCGACCCTTCCCACCTTCCCTCATGTCTTCCCTTCTTACCTGCGCTCTTCTACTCATCTCACTCGCATTGATCACACTGCTCAGGCGACAACGACAACCAACGCCCCTTCCTCCCGGTCCTAGGAGACTGCCGTTGTTGGGGAGTCTGCTCGAGGTTTCCAAACAAACCAACGAACCGAGTTGGAGAACGTACGACAAATGGTCACGTACCTACGGGGATGTGATATACTTCGATATCTTCGGAAGCGGAACGGTGATTTTGAACTCGCACAAGGCTGTTCTCGAGCTGCTCGAGAAGAGGTCGTCGAACTATTCGGATCGTCCTGGTGCGTATCCTTTAATTTCGGATGGTTAAATGGGCAAACAATAGGGCTGATGATTCCGATCAGATTTTTATGTGATGACAAGGATTTTGCGGTTGGTTGCTCACCTGTATGTCGTTTTGATTCTGGTCTGAGGCCTTACGATTCTAGATGAACCTGGAATTTCGGCTGTAAGCACGTTCCGCTACCTTCGTTGTTGGATACGACCGTTGACGTCCTCAGTCATGAGATACTCCGATAAATGGAAGTGAGAATATTGCACACCTTGTCTCGAGCTCGTCTGATCGCTCATCGCATTCCTATCATTAGACTACATAGCAAAACCTTCCAACAGTCCTTCAAGCCGCGCATTGTACCGGAATACTATGAAATTCAAAAGGCCGCATCCGCTTCGCTGATTGGTAGCCTCCGTTTGTCTCCCGAAGCCTTCTTTAAGCATATTGAACAGTTGGTTCCCACCCCTCGTTTTCCCACACGCCGGGAATACTCATGCTCCATATAGCTTTGCGGGCTCGATTGTTCTGGATATCGCCTATGGCTACAAGCTTCAGGAAGATAACGACCCATATGTGAGATTAGCGCGAGATGCGAGCGAAGGGATGAAGCAAACCGCCGTGCCAGCGGCCTTTCTTATGGAATACCTACCTTGGATGAGGCTTATACCTGGTGCGCGATCGACTCCACATTTGTATTGACTGACTGGGATCAACTATCATTTATTTGAATTGCTTCAGAATGGTTACCCGGCGGATCGTTCAAAGCCAAAGCGAGGGTGTGGGCCAAATATTCCGACGACCTCGTCAAACGCCCGTGGGAGTGGTTGATCGATTCTCGAGTATGTTGCTATGCAGTTGACCACGGAAGATCGCGTACTTACCGGTGCCTACAATTCCTACTTACAACTAGGCAAAGGGGACTGCAGAACTATCATTTGCTAACCGATGTATCGAGGATTTCAACATTATCCACCCAGGTCCCGAAGAAGATATTTCACAGATGGAAGAAGTCGTACAAAATTGCGCGGCGGTTACTTACCAAGGTGTGTTAACGTCTCTATGAAATCCTCGACGCGTTGTCCTCCTGTACTCAATGCCAGTTTACGTATCATTTAGCCGGATCTGAGACGGTAAGCCCGACCGTCCGATATGCTCGTCCTCGGATATGATAGCAATTTGCTTCTAGACGGTATCCGCGCTGCTTTCCTTCGTTCTCGCGATGACCCTTCATCCGGACATCCAAAAAGCGGCGCAAAAAGAAATTCAAGCACACGTCGGGACATCGAGATTACCAGATTTTGAGGATAGGGAATCGTTGCCTCTTGTCAGCGCCATTCTTTCTGAAGTTTTGCGATGGAACCCTGTGACTCCGCTGGGTGCGTGTCTCTCCAACTCTCAGCCACCGCTCAAAGCTCGATTTGATCTGACGAAAAGGTGTTCCTCACCGATCAATGGATGACGATGTATACGAGGGGTATTTCATTCCGAAAGGTTCGTCCTGACTTGTGCTTATAAAATCTGTCTCCCAAGTCCTGATGTCGATACAGATTCGACCATCGTCCCGAATATCTGGTGATTCATCGTTCTTGAATTCTTTTGCTTAATTTCCTCCCGAGCTCTAACTATTCAACGCGCAATACAGGTCTATCATGCACGATAAGGAGCTCTTTGGCGAGAACACAAGGGAATTCGATCCTTCCCGCTTCTTACAACGAGGGGACAAAGTACTTCTACCCGATCCCGCAAACATCACTTTTGGGTTTGGCCGGAGGTGAGTCGATTCCCAAGAAATTAAATGGCTTTGAGTGCCACATATTCTATATACAGGATCTGTCCCGGCAGACACCTTGCGATGAACTCTCTCTGGATTGCTATGGCCCACTTGCTCGCGACATATACCATCGCAAGACCCCTCGACGAGGATGGTAACGAAATTGACCCCCAGGTCAGGTACACCCCGGGACTTGTGAGGTTCGTCGGCTTAGCTTGGTTATGAATATTTGCTACTTATCTGCGCTGATACATTTCTAGTGCTCCAGAGCCATTCAGGTGCAGATTCATCAATCGGTTGTAGAATACTGGTTATCTCGTGCATTTTCTTTTGGTTTTATCCGTTCAGAATGGGAGAAAAAATATATTCCAACCTGGATATCGAGCAAATCAGAATCAATACTATCATAACCTATTCCCTACATGGTTGTCTGGCCTGTAGTCCTTTCAGGATGAAAGGACGTGCTTAGCTCGGTCTTCCATTGTGAGAATCTGGGCGGGTAAGGACGGCCCGGACCCCTAATGAATCGGTTCCGGGTGACGTAATGTTACATATGTTCTTTCCCGACTGCGACCACTAACCCAAGGCTCTCTTGAATGCTCAGAGCCAGGATACTCCGCCGTGGCTGGATGATTGACATTTGATAGGGCGTGTGAGTCAGAGTGACTGCCATCTTTCGTGGCTGAGACATCCCTCCAACATCCCTCCAACCCGCAGTCACCCTTGACTCACTGGGCCCTGTTCGTGAAACCTTACAGCCAAAAGCATGCTTAGTGGCGTCAGCCAGGAGAATGCGGTAGAATACTTGGAACAGATCTATACTAAGAGTTGCGACGACTGGATTTCTCGAGAACCCGCCCGTTTTGAGATGATGTCTGACCGAAGGGGAAGGATGTCGATCAATGAACATGCTCACAATCAGCAGGTACGCTCAGTTGACCTTGGAATCATCTTTGCGTGACTTCTCATGTGCATCAATGAGCGCATTGAAAAAGGATTAGGCCCGCTCAGGATATTCAATTCTCGATCTATGTACGACACCCAGCACTTCACACCCTCGGCGTCCTCACAACTGCATGAGGGTCACTTAATTTCGCTGGCCTCCGAAGCCTCCAAGCCATATGGCCGCTAGGGATAGTGGACATCGTAGATACTCGAATGCCGTTGGTCGAGTTGCTTGGCAACTAAAAAAGGTTCGAGTTCTGGTTTCTCGGGCTCGTCCTTCTAAACCTTTCTCGATCGGATTACTCAAGACCTTATTCATGATTGGTAGGTAATCTGGAAGAACACTGCAAGGCGAAAACTCTGCCCAAACCGTTACTTCCATCCTTTTTCAAAACCACACCCGGTCTGTCTGGCCTTTAATATTCCTTGTCCTCAATTCAATCTCGAGGCCGCCCAAACTCCCTTTCTGGGTTAGGTCTCGTCCCGGGAACCTTCATCACGCTCATTCAACGACATCCCATATTGTGTCGTACAGCACCCACCCCGTCTAAACTGCTCCAGAAAGCTTCGGAGCTATCAAGATAAAGCCATCGGTGCCACCCGCTCCCGAGCGCCTCCCATCAGCTCACTGTATCATCGTCTTGTGGTGCCACTCTGCGGGTAGGTTTGTCGTCGGAACCATGATCCCGGAGAAGTCTTGGCCTTTGCGCAGGTTCAAGTTGTTAGTTCTTCAGCCCGCTGACATGATCGAGTCCGTGTGTCATGTGGCCACCCTTTAACCTTAATTCACTGACCTCGGTATCCAGGCACCGCGACGGTTGAGGGCTTCGGACATCGGCAATCCAATGGGGTTTCTTACGGCCTGCCCGAATTGGAACCATCATACCTTCGGGTAAATTGAGAAATAGGAGCGCGTTTGAATCATGGATTATGATCACTGGCTGCATTTTGGGCACAATCGGCCGAATGGTGAGAACTCAAGACACTCTATTTGTGC